AAAGGTCAGCTGTAAGTTCTAAATGCACGGCTCTAGTTACAGCACAGGTAAACAGTAAAACGTATGTCTTAGATAATTCTCTTCCACTTTTGATGTACAGTGAACCCGAGTAATCTATATTGGAGTTTTCAAATGGAAAGGCTTCTTGGCATCTGTCTTGTGGGAGAGGTGCCATATCTTGCATGACAGGTTTAGTTCGAAATATTTTGCAGACACTGCAATTGTACAGAACACTTTTAATTTTTCGACGAGCCTTCAGCAACCAAAATTTATCTCTTATCTGATTTAAAGTATCTGCTCTTCCTCCGTGCCCTACCATCTGATGACTGTGAAGAATAATTAGATCAGTCAAATGATCTTTGTCAGGCAAAACAATTGGATGTGCTTGTTTGTAATCCAAATTTGAATTTTCTAATCGTCCACCAACACGAATTACACCACTTTCGTCTACAAATGGACTGAGGGACTTAAGTTTTGATTTTGAACCTAATTCCTCGTTTTTCTTCAATGCCCGTATTTCATTTATGAAATTTTGCTCCTGAACACGTTTGATCCAATAAGTTTCTGCCATTTCCAATTCGGTAACCTGCAAACATCCTGATAATTTCAAGGTATTTTTAAAATTGTTGATGAACCTTAAACACCACGCAGTAATTCGGTAAATTCAATGTAAATTGCTGTAATTTTGGCTTTTAAATAAATCTTCGGAAGGTTTGGTAACACATGCATTTTTGAAAACTTCCTTCGATGTTTTTCTTAGTTCCTTGTTGCATTCTTCAATGTTCTTTGTGGAACATAAATTCGGTTTTGGCCAGTGTTCCATTTCTTCCTTTAACCACGTGGGCCCTTCCCACCATATGCTATTCTGCTTCAGATGTTTGACATTTTCACCTCTAGTTAGCAAATCAGCTGGATTATGTTCTAAACGAATGGCTTCCACGTTTTCACATCACTTCAAATCCAGTCTAACGTTATGCTAGAATCAGTCCACATATATACGATTAAATCAACATCCCGAAGTTTCTTTTGGATGTATTTTGACAAGCGGGAGCCTTTCAAAGCACCCATCAATTCCAATCTTGGAAGTGATAATTTTTTCAAAGGTGCTACTTGTGATTTTGATGTAATGAAACTTGTATGAATGACTCCATTTTTCGAATAACGAAAATACAGAACAACCCCATAGGCCTTCTGACTCGCATCTGTGAAACAGTGTAACTGTAGACCATCCTTTATATCCCTTTTCCCAGCACCTGCAAACTGATCTCTTGGTATTTCCAAACTAGAAATATGAGTTAATTCATCACACCAGCTTTGCCAATTCTTTCCAAGAATTTCTGGTATTTGTGTCCCATGCTATCTTTTGTCATCATAAATCTTGCAATAAAATCCCAGCTCGAATGGTGTATGGATTTAAAACCCCAGTGGATCAAAGAACCGTCCTACAAATCTCAAGATTTCCCTTTTAATGGGTATGTTATCTATCCTTTTGGCATCTTTTACCAAATCTTCAATTTCTATCAAAAATGTATCATTTGACCTATTCCATATGTATACCTTAGAACAAGTCGAATTGTGTAAAAAATCTGCTTCATTCCATACCCTTTGTAAATTCGTTTTCCACTTCCGCATGTTAAATCCGCCTTCTTTCAGTATACGTTTAATATGTTCCGATTCCTCGAATGCTTCTGATTCTTCATCTGCTCCAGCGATTAAATCATCGACATACATATTTTCAGTTAGCATGGAAAATACTTTCGGATACTGTGACTTGTATTTGTCAGCGTGTACATTAAGACTTGCTCTGAAAAGAAACGGACTAGATGTTGCTCCAAAAATTACCCTTGTCATACGAAGAGCCTTTGTTTTGGTTCCATTTAATTCACCATCGTTCCATAGAAACTTGACTGCGTTTCTGTCTTCCTCAGCAAGAGAAATCTGAAAAATGCTTGTTCGATGTCAGCTGTAAACGCAATTCGATTTTGACGGAACTTAAGAGCAATTCCAGTATTTCTGGACACATCTTGGACCTGAATGTAAACAGTCATTTAATGACAAACAATTCTCCGCATGTGACGAAGCGTCAAAAACCACACAGGAGTTTTGTAGTTTCCTTGTTTTCTCTTATAACGGCTTGATGTGGCATAAAATACGTTTTTGGTCCAATTTCAATGTTAGTCTCTTCGGCGATTCCTTCTTTTAAGTACTTATCAATTACTTCGCGATATCTGTCATAGAACTGTTGATTATTCTGAAATCTACGACTTAAACTCTTAAATCTAATTTTAGCAATCTCCAGATTATCTCCAAGCTCATTTGAATTATGATTCCAGGGAAGGCGAACAATATAGCAATTGTTTTCAAATTTCACAGATCTTTTGAAATTATCGAAAACTAAATTATCTTCTAATTCGAGTTCCTTATCCGAATCATAATTTATCCCCATAGAATCGAGCTCCCAGAGATTCTTCAGCAAACTAGACAGTGATTCGTTCTGTGTATCTTTATTATTACGAACCTTCATCGCATTCACATTAGTTGGTGAAATTCCGTAAGCCTTTTCTGTTCCACTAATAGTCCAACCCAATTTTGTTTCAACCGCTACTAAGGAATTAGACAGTCTGTGAACCTTACCTTAAAATAGTTACCTGTAACTATTTTCCAATAAAAATCCACTTTTATCAGCAAAGAAATTTTCGGCGGTTTATTCCCTTGTCCCCATTCATCGGAAAGTTGTATGCCCTGTTTTTTAATAAGATTAACTATTTCATTTCTAGGGGAATGAATATGTGGTCCATTAATGACAGGAATAATTAAAGCTTCTATTTTGATTTCATATCGATACTTCGAATTACGCAAAATGAGCCTGGTTTTTTTTAACATTCTGCGCTTCAGACGTCGTGCAACCGAAAGAGAATATCTTTTTTTTTCTTCTCCAATAACGGGAAGTTTTAATTTCTTACAGATGTCCTCTCTAATAAATGTTCGCTGCAATCCTAAATCAAACAACAAGCGAACGCTTTGCTGGCGCCAATTGCCTATGTTTATAATTTCAGCTTGTGCTGTCAGAAGAAATGAGTTATTTGCTGTTGCGCTATCAGAAACAGAAGAGACTACTGCCCCTTGGACGAGACTCTTGTCTGACGCATTCATTTCGTCAGAGTGTATCAATGTATAATGTCGACGATCGCAAATAGCACAAGTTAGTTTCGATTTGCACATTCTCGCTAAATGGTATCTTTTGAGGCACACGAAATAAATTCCTCTTTGCTTTAATGCTTCCTTTTTCTCTGGCACAGTGTTTTGACATGATTCTGACGTATGATTTTCAGAACAGAATAAACAGCTATTAGATTATTTTTAACGCTGCCTCTGAAGGAATTCTACCCTTATTATAATCCCGATTTCTTTCGCTGTCTCAAAAACGTTCTCGAAACTGCCGCTTATTTCCAAAATGGGATTTCCTTTCAGTGAATTCAGAATCTGTTGGCTTAACTAAAAATCCTGTACATTCTCGACTTTCTATTTCTTTCCTTAGAAAATTTAGCAAATTTGTAATTTTTGTATGGTTATCATCTTTACATTTCTTATTAAATTCTAGTGCGAAATCATTCGAAATCACCTTTATTAATATTGGATACAATAAGGTACTGTACGAATCCGGTAAAATATTACACGATTCTAATCCTCTAATTTGTACTTCACAACGATCATATAATTTTCGAAGTGCTGTCACATCGCAAGACCTTTTAACCGGAGTTAATAAATTGTTCATATGGGTATCTATTATTAGTTTTTTGCGTCCAAAGCAATCTTAATATTTTTACACATTCTCGTAATTCTCCGCTGTTAATGTCAACCCTTGTATTGCAGTTTCTGCATCGGAAGTAAGAATTGAATTTAAATAGTTAAATTTATCTACTGCATGTAGACTTTCGTTTTCGTGTACAGCTGTCTCAAATCGTGCCCAAAACCCGGGCCAACTGCACACATCCTTTCCCGAAAATGTTTCCAGGGCCAATTTAGGGAGTTTAATTTTGTTTTGCGATTCAGTGACAGTTCCATATGAAGTAGAATTAGCGCTATGTGGATTAGTATCTAAATATCTTTTCGCGCGTAATTTCCAAACAATAATTTTACTTTTATACTCTTCTCTAGACATTATTTCATCTTCTAAATTTGCTACAATTTGTTACATCAATTAAAGCTTTCAATACCATTATCCGCTAAGATTAGTTCTTCTTTCTTTACTAATTAACTGAGCAACCGTTTCTTCTTCAATTACATTTTTATCCCCTTCATTAGCAATTTCTGTTTCTATCTTATTTATCAGCCTCATAACTACTGCTCTTATAGCAGATCGTTTCTTTTTAAATTTTTCTAAATCCATGTTTTTGCTTAAGCAAAATCTATTAAATTTCATTTCAAATTCAACCCAATGAGCCCGCGTTATGGCACCACAATATTATTATTTATATCCTTATCGTTATCATTACTTCTAACTAGTTAATCAAGGTAAAACAAAACTGCTTACCTTGTTCCAATGGGTTCTGCCAGGGCCATTTGTTGTACTCTGTGCAACTCTATCTGCAAAATCTTGAAGGGAATAATCCATAAATGATAAATACTTTCTTACACAAACATATTTAATGAAGATGCGAACGGTTACAGAATATTTACATAATGAAAAAGGTTTTAATTTTCGCACGACGCAGCGTGCGACTTCTCCATTCCGAGTTTTCGTGATCTCTAAGTGAGAGAGTTCAGAGTTCGAGATGACGTCACTCAGCCATCGGATCTCAGCAAGAGTTGAGTTTCAACAAGTCATCAGGCATTTTGCTTAAATTATAAGGTATTGCATTTTAATATAACTGTCGGCGTAAATATGAAAAAGAATGAAAAATGTAACAATATAACTCGTAACTGAAGTCTTAGTACATTGTTCATGTATTAAGTAACTTTATGCATTCTGTGTCTTAAAGCATTTATTTCCTACATAGTGGAAGACTGTGAAAGAAATGATGGCACTCCTGAGAAACCTTATTATATGTCCAAAGAACTTATGAAGATCCTTGGTAAGAAGAATAAATTCCGTGAAATAACACCACAATCCTCTCCTCGCTAATTTTTCCCCCTTTTACTTAAATCTCTCATTCCAAAGATTATATGTGTGCTTTTGTGTTTCTTTATGAACATGCTTGATGTTAAGGTTCAAGATGTACTAAAATGTTGATCCTTTAAAGAAGGATATTTCATAATTTTTGTGAAATAGAAATTAGGATTTCATTTAGGAAAAAAACATTTTTAAATCTTTATACTATAGAATTTTCCATTTATATATAAATTTCAAGTTTATTCTATAGGTTGTTCCAGCTTCATCCTCTTATTAAGATCTGTAAATGATTATAATTTTTAAAGTGTAAAAACGTGTCTTATGTTATATTCCAGGATTATTTTTTACGTTTTGTGGAATGTGATAGATGTACTTCATGTTATATATCATAGTTTTTCTATACTATTTAATTTTGAGTTACTATACAAGTCATGTTAATACTTCTTTCATCCCATTTTTCTGTGTTACTTTAACTGATGTGATGTGCAAGTCATAAGTGAAAATAGTTGATTTTGAATTTTTTTTTTCAGAGTGGAAGACTTTTCTTTTATTCTCCTATCTTGAGTTTTCCATTCTGAAAGCTGTAGTTTATTTTGTTATCTTTAGCAGCCTTGTGTATGAGAGGTTTAACATATTAAATCTAATTCTAATAGTGATTACTTACATGTAAAATTGTGAAAAACTGGGCATATATATTAATTATATGCCTTAATTATTATATATGTATTTTACGATGATAGCTAATTTCATATAGTATATAGATAACACAAAGCAAGATCTCAAACTTATTAGAAAAACGGGAAAAGTGTATTACTTGTTGCTCATTTAATTATGGTGCAGCTATCTGAGGCCTTAAATTTAGTATGCTTGCCTTAAATTTCACTGCCACTTTATAAGCACAATTTTACCTTATTTTAAGGTTATCTTTTAAAAGGCTGTGATTTTGCACTTTGCAATGACATGTCAAAAAGAAGCTTTGTATTCTTTTAACAAGCACATAAAAAAAGTTCTTAAATTTATAAAATTGAGAGTATTTTTGCTAATAGATTTTTATTACTTGCAAAATATATGAGCAGCGTATTCTTTCACACATATTTCATTTGATAATGCCTTCAGTAAGAAAGTATGCCTTCATATTTTGTACATCACTTTTTTCTACAAACCATCCATGAAGTTGATAGTAAAATTTCAATTAGTTCCATAGTCATGAGAAAATAAATAGCATTTTAAATTAAAAATATTAATACTTGTATATCCTTTAATGAAAGTTTTTAATGTTTATATTCTTAGAGATATACGATATTCTATAAATTATTCAGTGAGAAACTAGCGTTATAAATATTGATAATTTTACTGATCATAAATCCTACATATGTATTATCACGAAGCTTTTTAATGCTATATACCTCTTTGTTATTGTATTAAAATAGCTTCTTTATAGATTGCAAGTATTTAAAATTGTTTTAATACATATATATTATGGATTAAGTCATTAAGCATGTTGCTTCAGCTCAGGCATTATGTATCTATAACATAACTTAGAACTATATCCATACCTTTGTGCAGATGGAAAAAGTGTCAAAGATATTTGTTTCGCATCTCAAAATGGAATGTACATAAAAAATGCATATTTTTATTTATTGTTCTAGTTTGTTTGCTAGTGCAAATGCCAAATATATATTAAATTAGGTGCATAAACTACGGGTTATAATGAATTTTATAGATTATTCCAACTTATTATTCAAGACTGTATATAGATTTGTTTTATATTACAGACAATATATCAAATTAGCCTTTTTATTTGTAAAGTGTTACATAATTAAATAGATATATTTTAGGTTGGTTCATTATTTTAATTCTGTCTGCATTTGGCAGATAATGTTTATATACCAATTTTAAGATGAAATCAGTTTAATAATCCTTTTGTTTTTTTATAAGAGCTTATTTCATACTTATCTTGTTCATATGAAGCTGTTATGGCTTTTGCTATGCAGGCAATTTGCCATTAATGCAGTATTATTATTTTAAATTTGCTCATTGAATTTATAATATATACTTGAACAAAACGAATGAGACAACAAAAGCATTATATATGTATGTAATGTGTTTTCATGTATTACTTCAATAAATTTATGTATTAAACTAGTCTTGTCTATAAAAATTATGATTGTAGGTAATATGAAAGTGGAAAACATTTTCATACTGATTTTCTGTTCTGTTTAGTTACTGTAAATTTTTCAGATGATCTTTAAATATAAAAGAAACATATCTTTTTATATGTGTATTTATTTTTAAATTATAGATTGTAAAAATTTTTTTAACATAGCATATTTAGTATATGAAAGTCACAGGAAAAGCATCTTCATATAACCTAAAAATTAGTATTTCAGAAATAAACTGTTTGTAGTAGTTAATGATAAATGCAGTTTAAAATTTATTTCAAACAGCTATTTTGTTAATATTCTTAAGTTCCTAAATTAAGAAGGTGTTTACACATTTTTTGATTTTGATAAAGAATTGAAAAAAAAAAAAAAAAAAAAAAAAAAAAGAGCAAATGTTTTGGAATAAAAATTTCTGGCAATAGTTTTATTATTTGAAGTAATATAGTATCGCCGTTGCATGTAAACAAGTTGTGTATTGAAGGATATGATTTTGCACTTTCCAAAGAGAAATATCCCTATTCCATAATTTAAAATATTGAAAAATGCATGGCATTAAATTCCTTATGTGCAAAACAAGCAACATTATTAAACGGAAAGAGAAAACTGTAAATCATTACTTCTACATGGAAAGAAGATTCCAAACGAATACCGGAAAAAGGTACATGCTGTTTCTAAACTTCATTGTTAACAAGAGAAAATCCACTGATGCAGAAATTGGATGCAATTTTTTAAATACATATCTTGCAGCAATAAATAATAAACTAAGATTTATGACCAAAAAAGCCAAAAAACAATGTTCACCAGCTTTTGCCAAATCATGGGTTATCATGTTAAATAATTCGTAGAACCCTGCTTAAAAACTATTTACCTAGAGATAAATGGAAGAACACTGTGGCCCTTGATGGAGCTTGCATTTACTTAAATGACTGCAAATGAAAACAAAGAGTAAAAAATGTTTTTCGGTCAAGCAGATAAAATTCCAATGTCATACAATACGCTTCTTTCTTTCCCCTAAGCTTCTGCACACTTATGATTATTGCAGGATTCTCTTATGATGGGAACTTAGAAATGAGTGGATTAAGAAAAATATTGAAATCAACTCTAAGTGCTATCAATAGAAAATTCTACATTTGATATTTACAGAAATTTCTTTATTCCACTAACTTTCGAAGAATGAAACTTCATCAAGCCAAAGCAACAAGTCGTATTTCAAAAAGTACCACTGCATTCTGTGAAAAATAAAGACCAATACAGGTATTGTTCACATACATTTTCAGTGTATTCCTGCAAAGTCCCAGCACTTCATCTTATGAACTACTACACTTTGGTCTCTTAAAAAGATATCTTTCTAAGGGCTAACCCACCATAATTGATTGTACTCTGGAAAGTTGTGGAAGAGGAATGGAAACTAGTACCCCTGGAAATATTATGAAAAGTCCTATCATGGAAACCACAATGCATACTTATATAATCCAGAAAAAGGGCTATCGGATTAAACAATTAAAAAAATATTCTTTACATTGATTTCGAAATCGGTCTAAAATGCATAAACACTATTTTGTATATAAATGTATTGAAAATTTCCTTTTTCAAAACAAAAATTTCAAAGAAAGCTTAAAACAAATTTGGCTCAATAATTTTTACTTCTTTATATGAAATAAAGGAAGTACTGTAATTGCAAAAATTTCGGGTATCATATTTCAAACGCTCTCAAAACCATTTAAACTACGATTTTGCGAAATATCTGTACCTATGGACAGAAGAAAGGACTTTTTTTTTTTTTGTCAAAAAGGATTGTAAAATAAATTCACAAAAGTTTTTTTCGTGATATCTGTACTTATATATGTATCCTGTGTAACTCAAGAATGAATAGCTGTAGAACATTTGAAATTTTGTACATGGGACTGCTATAACATGCTGTTGCGCACCTCTCTTTTTCATTGCAATCAGTTGCACCAACCACACACATATATATATTCCCACTCTGTTACCTGGCTCAATGACCTTAGTTTTTCTATTCTTATATGTTGGTAAATTGTGCATTTTTTTGCTTTAAAATGGTTAAACTGTTTGGTTTCTATATTCCGGTTAAGGTTTTTATGCCTTTAGTTAATCTGCATGCTACAGTTATAGAATTATCCACAATTTAAAAGATTAAGTGGCGAATTAAGCCTAATGAACTGCCATTTGTTTACATTTCAAACTCGATAGAATAGTGAATTAAGTCTGTTTCTACACCTCCAATGTCTTTTTGCCAAGTGGGACCAAAAGTAAATTTTCAATTTTGTGCATTGAAAGATTTGCCTTCTTGCTCACGGTTTTCGAGTAAAAATGTTTTAACTGTATTTGGTGTTTTACGTTTTCCTGTATTTCACAAATTTAATGAAGGTGTTTTGAGTTTTTATGTATTTTTGCCTTGGGGAGAAGCAAGAACTTAATTGAATGAGAAAATGTATCTGTAATGAAATTTGAGGAAATAAGTTTAAATGAAGTGCAGCAAAAAATGTATAATTTGATAGGCCATACAAGGAAATTGTGGTGTCCACATTAGATTTTTATTATACTAAATTTCTATAAAGGAAATACTTTATTACAAAAACATGACTTAAACTAGTATCTTTGGCTATAAAAACATTCATCAGAACATAATTATATTCAATGCAAGTATAATAAAGTATAGGTCTGTTAGATTAGAAATATGGAATAATACAACAAACAAAAACAAGTGTTTCAGTTTCACTTTTTTTTAATAGTAACAATATATTATAAATACTCTATCAATAACTTTTCAGTTTTAATGTACATATGTCTTAATAAACTGCCCTCCAAAAAGTTAAGGAACAGCATGTTTTTCAAAAATGTCAACATTTAAATTTACAGGCCATATGAAGTGTAAGCAAATATATGCAAAAACAATAACTATCACTTTTATTTTATAGAAATTGAATACTTATATAGGAGTTGGAGAAAAAATGCAAAAAATGTAATTTTTGTTCTGAACTGTTATCTTCAGTTATTACAGTTTCGTGGACAATATCAATGTCCAGAAGTCGTTTGGCCAATTTGTTGAGGTGGCGGGTGATTGGATAGATGGAAATGGGAATGTCACAAGCTGAAGCTGCTAAACATCACATTGTCTCTCGTAGTGTGTCCACCGACTATGGGATCAGTTTGAATCCAAGGATTCTGTGTCTAGAAGACATGTTCCAAGCAGACCTAGAGTTACAACATCTGCAGGAAACCATTATTTAGTTCTGAAGGAGGAGTAGCATTACTGTGCCACAGCTGATGGCAGATCATTTAGTGGCAACAGGAGCAAGAACAGTGCACTACTACAGTGCACAAACACCTGCACAATACAAGACGACCAGTCGTTTGTGTCCCCTTGACATGAGGACACAGAGGTGCTCATTATGTTGGGCAAGAGAACATGTCTCCTGGACCAGTCAACAATGGGTATTTGTTCTCTTCACAGACGAGTCCAGGTTCACATTGCAGAGTGAGTCAGGTCGTCAGCCTATCTGGTGGGAACAACGCACCATATACAACTAATCCCACAATGTGGAAGACACAGAGGTGGGGGAGTAATGGTTTGGTCTGGGATCTCTATTAGTGGTCACACTGATCTGCATGTATTCCATGGAGGAACTTTGACCGGTGTGAGATATCGAGATGAAATCCTTGATCAATATGTCCGCCCATATGCCGCTGTTATTGGTCCTGAATTTTTTATGATGGATGACAATGCATGACTGCACTGAGCTTGGTTTGCTGAAGAATATCTTGATGGTTATGGTATGGAGTGGATGGAATGGCAAGCTCAATACCCAGACCTGAATCCAATAGAGCATCTTTGGGACCTTGGGAGACAGGTTGCAGAGTTCTCCTCCAAGGTTGTTAGATGAGCTTGAACAAGAATTACTCCATGTCTGGTCATTTCTTCCCATTTCACTTGAACATAGAATATCACTGCCTCTGATGTATTGCAGCTAGGGGGTGGACACATTCCTTATTACAACCCATTTTTGTAATGGAACCACTCCATTTTTCCTCAAAAAACTGATGTACTGTTTCTCCAAGACTGGGTTTCTCTGCCAAGAGTGCAATTCTTTGTTGTAATTCATGTTTGTGTTGATCTTAAGAAGCATTCTACGTCACAATAATTAAGGTATCAACTATTTAGTGAATATGTTCTCTAAATTTATTTTTTCTATGTTGCTTCAATCTCAAATCACACAAAAACATGCTGTTCCTTAACTTTTGGAGGGCAGTGTATTATGCTGGAACATATAGAAGGAACACTGAAATACACAAGAATTAAAAAAATATCTGAAATTATGGGCAGCAGATAATTTACTCCTAAGTTATATAACTATTTAACAAAACATACATTTATGTCTTACACATGCACTATACCACACCTATCATACACAGCCTCTAAGACTAATACATAAAACTAACAGTTTCTTGATGTAATCTTTATATGTGCACTTAGATTAATTATAATTACATTAGTTATGATATGAATATCTTTTTAAACATTTTATGTAAAAAACATTGGAATTTTCCTCTTGCAAAGTTACCACTTCTGTTTCTTTTCTTAGGCAGATAATCTTTGTATGCTTTGTCACATTCAGATAACCTAATAGAACTTTTACACACTGCAAAAATTTTATTCATTTTTAAACTACTGAGAAACTATCTAGAAAAATCTAAACTGTCTGGAAGCACACTTTGCAAGAGGAATCATTAATGTTACAGGATATGGAAATAGAATAATTTTAGTTTTTGTAGAATAGAATAAATTATTTTTGCTAATTGCACATAAAGTTGTATTATTCATTTTTATTAATTTTATTTTCAATGAACATGAACATTTCATATAAAGAGAATTTAAGTTAAAAAAAAGTATTATGTGTATAATGAAGAAATTTGATGGGTATTCATTTTTAAAATCTTTTGCATAACTTTTCTTTTAGTTTAATGAAAAGAACAAGTGCTTCTTAATATTTATAATAACATATTCAGTAAAGTATGCAAAAATTGTATTGCCTTAATTATATATAGTTATGAAATTATAATTCAGCTTTTATATTGATTTACATTATAATA